TATCCGATTTGATGCAAACTTGGTACATCGTAATATTATTATCAAACTTACATCGAGTTCGGAAATGGGCAATATAGGTTCACTTTTTCTGGTACCTCCCCCACTAAAGGTCGAAATTATAAAAAAGGATAATCCGATCTTGCCCCAACTATACAAAACCCTAATATTTGCATCAGTTCTAGATCTGGTGCGAAAACGGACAATATCGGTCCACTCCATCAAGTACCTACCCAATAAAAGGTCAGCATTTTTTAATAATAGTAACTCTTATAAAATGCCATGTAAGAGTCCGATTCTCTTCAAATTACACATATCACAATATTTTTATTAACCCAAGGTCTGGTGTGAAAATGGAATACATCGGTCCACTTGTTCTGGAACCTCCCCCATAAAGGGTCAAAATTTTGAATATCCGTGAAGCTCATACTACGAGAAATTTTCAAACGATTCCATTCGGACTTGGTAGATATTTTCATCAACACAAGATCTTTTATAAAGATCTGACGATTCCTTCAGGTACCTTCCCCTCAAAGGGTCAAATTTTTGAATAACCAAAACAATTATAAAATCCGAAATAGGCATCCTGCTCTCTTCATTTTTCTCACATTCCTTTATTTCTACAAACACAAGATCTGCTGTAAAGGTGGAATATATCGATCCACTCCTTTTGGCACCTCCCCCACAAAGAATCAAAAATTCCAGAACAATTTTCCAGACCCGTCTTTAGGGGCTCTAGACGTTTTTTTACAATTCCAAGAGCTTTCTTCAGGGATTTACGAATCAAATATCCAAGAGCTCTAAACTTTTGGAACAATTTTATTAGCCCTCTTCAAGGGACTAGAAATCAACTCTCCAAGGGCATTATACGTGGAACATTGAAAGTACTCTTCAAGGGGTCTTAACATGGATTCGAAGAGCCTTCTTCCTGGGTTCTTAACGTGCATTTTAGAAAATAATTCCTGGAGCCCTTTCCAAGGGCACTTAACTAATATTTTTAGAAAATCCAGGAGCCCATAAAGAAGGGCTCTAAACGTACATTGTTGAAACAGGATCCTACTTCAAAAGTTTGTCAATATCAGGATCCATTTTCAAGAAATTTATACGTGCATTTTTGGAAAGAATTTTCGAGGTCTCAATTTCAAGCCATTCAAAATCAAATATCCAAGGTCCCTACTCACTTGGAGTAGGAGTCTAAAAATCGATAAAGACATGAATTCCAAGAGGTCTTAACAGTGATGCCAGGAGCCTTCTTCTTGGTTTCTTAAGTTGGCTTTTTAACACTTCCAAGAGCCATCCTAAAGAATTTAAGGTACCTCAACCAATTTTTTAAAGCAATTTTAAGAGCTTTCTTCAAAGTTTTTAAACGTGAGTTTTTGAAACGTTTCGCTGATTTTTTTTAACAATTCCCAGAGCCTTATTCATGGAATCCAAAATGAATGTTTAAAAAGTTCTCCATGGGCTCTAAGCGGGAAATTTGAAAAATATTCTTACAGCCCTCTTCAAGAGGTCTAAACATGGATCAAAACATGAATTCAAAGGTATCGAAACATAAATTCCATGAGTCTTCTTCAAAGGTTATCAATTTCAGGAGCTTTTTTCAAGGACTCCAAGCTTAATGTGGATTTTTTCAAGAATTCCAAGATCCTTCAAGGACACAAAATCTTCAAGGGATCCAAAATCAAATTTCATAAATCTCTAAACTTTGTCAGTATTAAAACAATTCTTCAAGGGGTATAAATACATATATTCCAGGAGCCGTTTTTGATGGCTCTTAACGTGAATTTTTAAAAGAATTCCAAGATCCCTTTCGAAGGGCTTTTAACAAATATATTTTGAAAATCCAGCAGTATTCTTCAAAGGGTCTAAATTTTTTGGAACAAGTCTTCTACCAGGGGTCTAAACATGAGATTTTAAAAAATTTGGAAGCCTTCTTCGAGGATTTAATACTTTGATTTTTGAAACAATTCTCAGAGTATTCTAAATGTCAATTTTTTACATTTCCTAATAAAAGTAAACTTTTTGATTAAATTCAAGACCCTTCTTTGAGGCCAAGTAACATGAATTCTTTTAGCAAATTCAAAGACTTTATTAAGGGACTGTAAAGGAAGATTTCCAAAACAAGGACTTTAAAACAAGGACTCTAAATGGGAATTTCTAAAATAATTTCAATTGTCTTCTCCAAGGACTCTAATCGTGATTTTTTTTGGATAAATTCCAGAGCTCTTTTGGAGGGCAGTAAACGTTGAGACTTTTTCAAGGACTCTAAAGGAGAATTTCTGAAGTAAGAAAATTTTGAACTACTTCTTGGATGCCAAGAAATGTTTGTTTTTTTAAAAAGGAAGACGTTGCCTTTTCAGATAGCCTTTACATGGACTTTTGAACAAATGCAAGAGCCTTCTTCTAGGACTCTGAACGTGAAAAGTTTCAACAATTCCAAACATCTTTTTTTAAAGACTCTAAACGTTTATTTAAAAAATATCAAGAGCTTTCTTGGTGGCCCAAAAAAAAAAATTTAAACTAATTCAAAGGCCTTCTTCAAGGACTCTAAAAGTGGGTTTCCAGAACAACGCCGAAAGCCTTTTTCAAGGACTTTTATCCTGAATTTTTAAAGAGAATTCTTCAAGGACCCGAATGAGCATTATTCAGGGACCCGAAAGATGGATTCCGTCAACAGTTCTAATTGCCTTCTTTAAGGACTCTAAAGGAGAATTTCTAAAAGAATTCCAAGAATTTTTTGGATGCCAATAAACGTAGAATTTTTAAACAAATAAAGGAACCTTCTTTAAAGGCTCCAAATGTGAATATTTTATATAAATTCAAGGTAATTTTTGGAGACCAAAAAACGTGGTAAAACATTTTTTTAAAGAACTCTACAGATGGATTTCCGAAACAAATCCATGTGGATTTTTTCAAGGAGCCTTATTCAAAGACCCGAAACCAGGTGGATTTCTGAAGCAATTCCAATTGCATTCTTCAAGGTCTACAAATGCGAATATTATTTACAAATTCAAGAGCCTTTTTGGAGACCAAAAAACGTTGTCAAGAGCCTTCTTCAAGGGCTCTTAACTTGGATTTATGAACTCAAGAGGCTTTTCAAGGATTCTACAGGTGGATTTCCAAAAAAAATTCCAATTGCATTCTTTAAGAACTCTGAACGTGAACTTTTTCAACAATTCTAAGAGCCTTTTTCAAGAGCCTTTTTCAAGCTCCAAGCCACAAAAAAAAAAAAATCTGAAGTTTTTAAGCAAAGGTAGATTCCGTGGTTATTTGTAACAAATTCAAGAACCTTCTTCAAGAATTCTGCAGGTGGATTTTAAAAAAACAATTCCGAGAGTCTTTTTCAAGGACTCTAAGCGTGGATTCTTAAACAATTTAAAGAGCCATCTTCAAGGGCTCTAAACGTAATTTTTTTTAAGAAATTCAAGAGCCTTTCTGCAGGCAAAAAACGTGGATTTTTTAAACAAATTTAAAGGACTCTAAAAATAGATTTCAACAACAAGTCCACGAATCTTTTTTATGTGTATACCCTACACTACAAGGTGGTCAGGGTAATATGTCTTTGTGCATTTGTTTGTAACAGGCAAAAGGAAACGCGGTAGACCCATAGTTCCTTTTGATGATCTGCATAGAATCACATTCTGAGTCGATTTATGCATGTCCATCCGTCCGCCGTCCGTCTGTCCATGTATTTTTGTAAACAAAGTACAGGTCGCATTTATTGACCTATTCAGATGAAATTTTGCACAAATTGGAGATAATCGGTCAAAATTTAGATATAGCTTCCATATATATCTTCGTCCGATTTGCCTTTTATTGTGCACCAAACGTGTAATATCAGTCCGAATAGTATGGAATTTTGCACGTACGATCAGTTTGAATCTGAAAATAAGTATGCCAAATTTGATCGAAATCGGTTCAGATATAGCTAGAGCTCCCATATATATTATTCATCCGATTTGTTATTTTTGTCCACCGCAGCCTGTTACAACAATATTTGGGGAAATATATCAAATACAGCTCCGAAATACATTTGCTAAATTTGATCGAGATCGGTTCAGAGTTGGATATAGCTGCCATATATAACTTCGTCCGATTTACCTTTTATTGTACACCAAACATCTAATATTTGCCCAAATGGGATGAAACTTGGCACTTACGACCGAATTTAGTCTAGAAGGTGGTATGCCATATTTGGCGAAGATCGGTTCTGATATAGCTATAGCTCCCATATATACTGTTCATCCGATTTGTCATATTTGTTACCCGCAACCGTAATATGCACTCCGTAATAACGATATTCACGGAAATATATCAAATACAGCTCAGAAATATATTTGCTAAATTTTATCGTGATCGGTACCAATTTGGATATAGCTCCCATATATATATTTATCCGATTTTAAATTAATTGTGCACCAAATGAGCAATACAAGTCCGAATTTAAAAGATATAAATGCTTCGGCATATTTAGTCCTTTGAACTTTAAATTATAATTATAATCATAGCTTGTAGGATTGAATTCTCCCATAAAAACTTTCAATTGTTATGTGGAGCTCTACTAAATTAGCAAAGTGGTGTAGGGTATCATACCGACTTTAAGACTTTCTTTACTGTTTTTTTTTTTTTTGGAATTTTTTTTTTTTAATTCAAGAGCCTTCTTCAAGGTCCCAAAAGGTGCATTTCTAAAAAAAATCAATTGCCCTCTTAAAGGAGTTTTTTTTAATAATTCTAACAGCATTATTCAAGAGCTCTAAAAGTATTTTTTGGGAATTCCAATGACCTTCTCTTAAGGACTATAAACCTGAATTCATTTAATAAAAAATCAAGAGCCTAATTGAGGTTAATAGTCGTTTTTCTTTAACAAATTCAAAGGCATTATTGAATAAACGAGGATTTTTTTTAACAAATTTAAAGGCATTTTTTTGAGTCCAATAAGCCTGATTTTTTTTAAGAAATTCAAACACCTGCAGAATATTTGAAATAGGTGTAACTCTATGCCTCTATTTCATTTTAATAATGAGAATAATGGTCGAGTTATTTATGGTAAGTCTACCGTTATTGGTCTTGAGAAAATTCGTAAAATTCACACGATAATATCCAACCAAGACCACCGGTGGTAAACTGTTCTTTTCGATGCGAAAATTATGCCAACTGTAGGTATTCTGAAATTAAAAAGAAAAATCAAGAAATAATTTTTGAAAAGAAAAAAATATTAATTTTCACATACCGCCAAAATAGGACATGATTTAGGTAGGTTGCTATATCGCAAAACATTTTGTATCCAAATGGCAAAAAGGTTGGGCGTCTCCCTTGCAGTTTTGCCCAAAAATTCACAAATATTGCTCTCGTAAATGAAAACGGGCCGATAACTGTTGATGGTCTTTTTCAATTTCAGTTCGACACTAAAACGATTCCACAAAGGTTCACTGATGTTTTGGATTAGAACAGCTTCGCAATCCATACTTTGACGATCGGGAGAAAACTGGATTTCATATTTGTTCAAGAAGTTCGGATTGAAGTACCTGGTTGCATTGTGAAAAAATACCACTTTAGACTGAAAATGAAAAAAAAAAATTAGAGAAAAGAAAAATCAAACCAAAATTGAGTAGAAATAAATTGAGAATTATTGGATATTTTTTTGATACCTTGATCTTTGCCGCATGACTAAATTTCAAATGGGTTAGAAAAATTATCCACATAAGAAACGTCATGGAAGGGTTCCAATTCATCTTTCCCGCTAGAGGTTCGCAGTTGAAATAAATTTAATCTTTTTTTTCGCTAAAAATAGAATTCCTAATTTTATTTTTAATTTTTTTAGTATTTTGAAATGAGGGAAAGAGGTTAATTATAAATCAATTAAAACCACATTTCATAGATCAAATTATACAGGGTGGGATGAAAATTCTGCAAACAACTTCAGACTGCTATCATTTCTAAGCCACTCCTCCGACAGCTGTTAAAATTATTCCAGTGACAGCTCATTGTATTGTTTATAAGTGTACAAAAGCATTTTCGTGAGAATTTTCCAAAAAAAAAAAAAATTATTCGTGTTGAAATTCAAGCGGGATATTGTGATTTCTTTATATTTGGCTGGAAAACCACAAGTGGTCATTGTTAGAGCACTCCAGCATTTAAATGTGAATAAATCTCGTACCACCGCTTGTTACAGTGATACTGGTAGCGTAGGCCCCCGACGTCAAGGAAGTGGTCGGAAGAAAACAGCAACATCAGCAGAAATGGTTCGAAAAATAAAGAAGCGACTTGATCGAAACCCGCATCGCAGTGGCCGAAAAATGGCTCATGAGCTGAACATATTGCAATATTCCATTCGGCAAATATTGAAAAATGAGCTCGGGGTAAAGTCATTGAAATTCCAAAAAGCGCAAGAACTTACACCGCACCATAAAGAAAATAGACTCAAAAAAGACAAACAGTTACTTCGCTTGGACGAAAGTGGTGAACTGCCGAATATGGTTTTCTCCGATGAGAAAACATTTATTGCCCAGCAGTTTGTAAACAAACAAAATGATCGTGTTTACTTGCCAAAGAAGTCAGCTGAAAATGTGCACCTTCGGTTGGTCACCAGAACTCAAACGCCGGATATGGTGATGGTGTGGGCCGCTCTCCGCTCGTATTAATTGACCGTGGCATCAGAATAAATGCCGAATATTATTGCGAAAATATTCTGGAGGGTGTATTAAAGCCTTGGGCATGCAAACATTTTAGCCGCAGACCTTGGACATTCCAACAGGACTCAGCACCACATCGAACTCCGAACGCTCCACCCAAAAATGGTTACAAAATGAGGTTCCCCGCTTCATTTCCAGCGGCGCACAATGGCCACCAAAAACTCCGGATATCAATCCGTTAGACTATTGTGTCTGGAGTATTTTGGAAAGCAAGGTTGGCACTAAAAAATACCAAATTGTCGATCACCTCAAGCAAGCGCTTCGCCGGGAATGGGCCAAAATACCGCAAAGCAACATTCGGGCAGCGTGTGACGGTTTCATTGGCCATTTGAAGGCCATAATTCGTGCCAAAGGTGACCAATTCAAAAAAATCTAAACTTATTCTAAAATTTTATGATATTTCCGACATTTTTGGCTTTCATTCAAAATCCTTCAACATAGTATGAAGGGTATATTAAATTTGTCATTCCGTTTGTAATACCTCGAAATACACATTTTAGACCCCACAAAGTATATATATTCTTGATCAGCATACATTTCTATTTCGATTTAGCGATGTCCGTCCGTCTATCCGTCGGTGGAAATCACTCTAGCTTCCGAATGAATTGAAGTAGATTGATAAAATATTACTCAAATGTATATTTTGTTTGCAGGACTTTTGGTATTGAAAATGGGCCATGAAGGTCCACGTTTTGGCATAGGCCCTATATGACGGTACCTCCCGATATTCGGTATTTTTATGATTTAAGCGACATTATTCACCGGAATTCTTTTAAATTTCGTCTTTGAAGTTCATAATGGATACTACAGCTTAAGACAGAAAATTGTCTGTGCAGGTCCACATCTTCGTATAGCCCCCATATAACGGTACCTCCCGATATTCGGTATTTTGATGATTTTAGCGACATTATTTACCGGAATTGTTTACGTATTTAGAGTTTGTAATGGGTCTGTGACAGAAAATTGTCTATGTAGGTCCAGGTCTTCGTATAGGCCCCATATATCAGCACCACCCTATATTCGGTATTTTTACGAGTTTAGGTATAATACCCACCGAAATTGTTTAAGACGCGTATTTCAAGTTCGTAATGGATGCTAGAGCCTATGGCAGAAAATGGTCTATGCTGGTTCAGGACTTCGCACAGCTCCGATATAACGCTACCTCCCTATATACGATATTTTTATGATTTTACCTACATTATTCACCGTTTATTTCAAGTTTCGAAGTTGGATGTGGTAATGGCTTATGACAAACAATTCCATGTAGGTCCACATCGTATAGACACCAGAATAACGACTATATTCGGTATTTTTTAAATTTTTACATAATTTTTTAAGGATTTTATTTCTAAATTCGTTCCAAATGGTGGAGGGTATTCATAGTTCGACACGGCCGCACTTACTGCTTTTTAAGTTATTTTATCTCACCCTGTTGATGTTTCATCCGATTTGGTGTTAAAGTCCTTCACATGAGCAACAAAAATGATATCTGATACCGGGCATCAAATACTGCTCGAAAATACCTGTGCCACTTTTTATCGAGATCGATACAGACTTTAACATAGCTTCGCCGATTTTACGGATATTGCGCCCCATATATGCAATATCAGCCCAAATTGAATAGATTTTTTTTTATATTCAACCGAATTTTACCATTTGGTGAATTCGGTGCGGTATATCTATTGCTCCAATAAATATTTTTTAGCATAATTCTTATGGAATTGATATCAGCAATATTATTCGGAACTAAGAGTACAAAACCTCCATCAAATTTGTCGAAAATCGATTCAGAGTTGGATATGGTTCCAAAAGTGTGAAAAAGCCATGATACGCATTCAAATAAGATTCATAGTTGGTATGACCTACTTCACATAAATTCCCAATATAAGCTTTTTTTGTAACGGGGGCTCTATTAAAGACGCATAGTGGTGTAGGGTATCATATAGTCGGCCCGCACGACTTTTGACTTTTCCTCAGGGTTTTTCTTTTGTCCCAGAAAAAAAATATTTTTTATACCCTCCACCATACTACCATACTATATTAATTTTGTCATTCCGTTTGTAACTCCTCGAAATACTCTTGTCAGACCCAACAAAGTACATATATTCTTGATCAGCGTAAAATTCTAAGACGATTTAGCCATGTCCGTCTGTCTGTCTGTGTGTCTGTCTGTCTGTCTGTCCGTCTGTCTGTTGTAATCACGCTATCTTTCGAACAAATTGAGATAGATTTGCACACATGTATATTTTGCCAGTAGGCAGGTTAATTTCGTAAATGGGCCATGTAGGTTCAAGTTATCATTTAGCCCCCATATAACGGTACCACCCGATATGCGGTATTTTTATGATTTCAGCGACATTATTTGCCGGACTTGTTTCAAATTTCGTATTTGAAGTTCGCACTGAATACTACAGCCTAAGACTGAAAATTGTCTGTGCAGGTTCACGTCTGCTTATAGCCCCCATATGAGGGTACCTCCGGATGTTCGGTATTTTGATGATTTTAGCTACATTATTCACCGGAATTGTTTCAAATTTGGTATTTAAAGTTCGCACTGAATACTACAGCCTTAGACAGAAAATTGTCTGTGCAGGTTCACGTCCGCGTATACCCCAAATAACCTCCCGATATTCGGTATTTTTATGATTTCAGCGACATTATTTACCGGAATTGTTTCAAATTTGGTATTTGAAGTTCGCACTGAATACTACTGCCTAAGACAGAAAATTGTCTGTGCAAGCCCACGGCCTGGTATACCCCCATGTAGCGGTACCTCCCGATATTCGGTATTTTGATGATTTTAGCGTCATTATTTAGCGGAATTGTTTCAAATTACGTATTTAGAGTTTGTAATGGGTCTGTGACAGAAAATTGTCTATGTAGGTCCAGGTCTTCGTATAGGCCCCATATATCAGTACCACCCTATATTCGGCATTTTGACGATTTTAGGTACAATACCCACCTAAATTGTGTGAGATATCGTAATTGAAGTTCGTAATGGATGCTACAGCCTGGATGCCTGTTGTCTATGCTTGTCCAGGTCTTTGCACAGTTCCGGTATAACGGTAACTCCCTATATACGATGTTTTGGTGATTTTAGCTACCTTATTCACGGTTTATTTCATGTTTCGAATTTGAATATGGTAATGGCTTATGACAAACAATGCCCATGTAGGTCCACGTCGTATAGACACCAATATAATATAATATATACTCGGTATTTTTAAAATTTAAGCATAGTTTTTTATGAATTTTAATTTCTAAATTCGTTCCAAATGGTAGAGGGTATTCAAAGTTTGGACCCGGCCTAACTTACAGCTTTTTAACTTATTTTATCACACCCTGTATATGCTTCATCCGAGTTGGTGTTAAAGTCCTTCACATGAGTAACAACAATGATATTTGATACCGGGCATCACATACTGCTCGAAAATACCTCTGCCAATTTTTATCGAGATCGGTACAGACTTTAATATAGCTTCACCGATCTTACGGATATTACGCCCATTATATGTAATATCAGCCCAAATTGAATAGATTTTTTTATATTCAACCGAATTTTACCATTTGGTGAATTCGGTCTGGTATACCTATTGCTCCAATAAATATTTTTTAGCATAATTCTTATGGAATTGATATCAGCAATATTATTCGGAACTAAGAGTACAAAACCTCCATCAAATTTGTCGAAAATCGATTCAGAGTTTGATATGGTTCCAAAAGTGTGAAAAAGCCATGATACGCATTCAAATAAGATTCATAGTTGGTATGACCTACTTCACATAAATTCCCAATATAAGCTTTTTTTGTAACGGGGGCTCTATTAAAGACGCATAGTGGTGTAGGGTATCATATAGTCGGCCCGCACGACTTTTGACTTTTCCTCAGGGTTTTTCTTTTGTCCCAGAAAAAAAATATTTTTTATACCCTCCACCATACTACCATACTATATTAATTTTGTCATTCCGTTTGTAACTCCTCGAAATACTCTTGTCAGACCCAACAAAGTACATATATTCTTGATCAGCGTAAAATTCTAAGACGATTTAGCCATGTCCGTCTGTCTGTGTGTCTGTCTGTCTGTCTGTCCGTCTGTCTGTTGTAATCACGCTATCTTTCGAACAAATTGAGATAGATTTGGACACATGTATATTTTGCCAGTAGGCAGGTTAAGTTCGTAAATGGGCCATGTAGGTCCAAGTTATCATATGGCCCCCATATAACGGTACCTCCCGATATTCGGTATTTTGATGATTTTAGCGACATTATTCACCAGAATTGTTTCAAATTTGGCATTTGAAGTTCGTAATGGATACTACAGCCTAAGACAGAAAATTGTCTGTGCAGGTTCACGTCTGCGTATAGCCCCCATATAACGGTACCCCCCGATATTCGGTATTTTGATGATTTTAGCGACATTGTTTACCGGAATCGTTTCAAAATTGGTATTTGAAGTTCGTAATGGATACTACATCCTAAGTCAAAAAATTAGCCATGTGGGTCCACGTCTTTAAATAGCCCCCATATAAAGTTACCCCCCGATATTCGGTATTTTGGTGATTTTAGCGACATTATTTAATGGAATCGTTCCAAATTTGGTATTTGAAGTTCGTAATAGGTACTGCAGCATAAGACAGAAAATGGGCAATGTAGGTCCACATCTTCGTATATCCCCCATATACCGTACCCCCCCGATATTCAATATTCTGATGATTTTAGCGACATTATTTACCGGGATTGTTTCAAATTTCGCATGTTAAGTTCGAAATAAATACTTCAGCCCATGCCAGAAAATTGCCTGTGCAGGTCATCGTCTTCGTATAGCCCCCATATAACGGTATTCCCCATATTCGGTATTTTGATGATTTTAGCTACATTATAAACAGATTTTTCTTCAAGTTTCGCATTTAAATATTGTAATAACTTATGACAAAAGTTGCCTATGCAGGTCCACGTCGTCGTATAAGCATTCGGTATTTTTAAGATTTTAACAGAATTTTTAACGGATTTTTTTTGGAAATTGCCAAATTTGTACCAATTGGTGGAGGGTATTAAAAGTTCCGTCCGGCCGAACTTACTGCTTTTTTACTTGTTTTGATTAGTTTACGATCTTGCGGTGTGAGAAGGGTATAAACATATCTACGATCTTGTGATCCTGGAAAATATTTTTTGAAGAAATACAGAAAAATGTATTTGTTCCTTGAATAGAAATTATTTTATTCGCTCGGCTTGTCGTTCTCGAAAGTAGTCCTAAAAAATTCTTCTATTATTCCTCCGGTAGCACTCTGTGTTTTATGAAAATTCATAGACTGAAGAATTTTTGATTTTTTCGATATCTCTGAGAAAAAAATCCGTTATCGAAATCATATTTTTAGATTCTTGTAGGTTTTGGAACAGAACAGGTTGTTCTGCTGGCATTTGTTGCAAATGTATGTTTCTAAAACCATGATTATTATTTTAATAGATTTTTCAAAAATTGTGTAGTTTCGGCTTGTCTATTGACCTTAGTAATTTATTAGAATAACATTAATGTGTTGGAAAAAAGTATAATTATATTTGTACATATTCGGCTCATTAGTTTATCTCAATTATAAAAATCAAAAATATTGTTTTCTAGAAATACAACAATTATCAACATTTCAGAAAGAATCGTTCTTAATGTAGCAAAAATTCAAAAAAGCGAAAAAAAAATATTCACTGAAAATGATGGCATATTTTACAATTCTTTTATATTTCCTTCTCATTCTGATTATGCAACTACCCTCCTGTTTACAACATCAAAGGGTGAGTAAATTCTCTTTAAATCAAAAAAAAAAAAAAAATCTAAAATTCTCTCCTTCCCTTTTGCCAGAAAAAATCCATATTCTTCCTTCAGACTGAAACCAGTTTCAATCGTGACTATGCCTCCAATTATTCTCTGACAATTGCCAATCAAAACTCTAGCGTAAATTTGGATCTAGTTGTTAGCCGGCGGATTTCCGATCCCGTCTGGAATCTCTTAACAATGCATATGACATTTGCCAAAGAGAATGCTTGGAGTAAAATCATGTCTTTTGATTTGAATTTTTGTGAATTGCTGCAGCAGAGTAAAACACCGGGTTTCCAGCTGCTTGGTGTGTGGATGAATAATGTGCGGAAATATGGTGAACTGCCAAGGGAGTGTCCAATCAGGGAGGTATGTTTTGGAAACAAATGTATCTCTTTGAAACTTTTAAAATCTCTTTTTTTGGATAAATAGGGCCACTATACCTGGCGCAATTTTAAAATCGACAAGAATAGCATCCCAAACTTTGTGGCCAAGGGATACTATCGCCTTGGAGTGCTTATGTATATACGGAGGAATGATCAAAGGGAAATGCTCATGAATTCTACGGTTGATTTAATGGTGAAAAATAAATAAAAGAACTTTTTTTTTATCAAATTCTATGAACTTCTTAAGAATATTTTTTTCAAAATGCTAGAAAATTAATTTGTTAAGAATATTTGTTCATAAATCGTGAACACTTGAAATACCTAAAATATAATTCTTAATATCAATACAAATGTTCCTACTATCCATGAATATTATTCCTAAATTTCCAAAGATTTTCCCTAATATAGTTTTTTTAGTATCCAAGATTTTTCTCATAATATCAAGAATGTGTTTCCTAATATCCAAGAATGTTTTTCATAGAATCTAAGAATATTTTCATATATTCAAGATTTCCCCCTAATACCCAAGATTATTTTTCTCAATATCACAAAATATTATTCCTAATATTAATGACAATTTTCCTAACATACATGTATATTTTTGCTTTTTCCAATTTCCAGAATATATTTTTTTCATCTCAGAAATTTTACTAAAAATGTTACAGAATTTTTTTAGTATTTTTCTCCTAAAATTTAAGAATATCTTTCCCAATATCCCAGAAAATTGTTCCTTACATCCAGAGTTTTTTCGTAATATCAAGAATATGTTTCCTAATATCCAACAATATTTTTCATAGAACCTAAGAATATGTTTATGTGTTATCCTAATTTCTAGAAATATTTTTCTAAATATCCCATAATATTATTCCTAATATCAATGACAATTTTCCTACTATTCATGTATATTATTCCTAATTTCGCAAATATTTTTCCTGATATCCAAGAATAGTTTTCTTTTTCATTCCAGATTTTTTTGTTAAATGCAAGAAAAATGTTCGCAATATCCAGGAATATTTTCTCTAATAATATTTCCCCCAGTATATTGGGAGAGATAAAAACGTAAAACAGTAGCTGATTTCGGCCGGGCCGAACTTTATATAACCTCCAACATTTTCGAAGGAAATTGAAATATTTAAGAAAAAAAAAATCCGAAAACTACCACTTAAATGAAAACCGTTATATGGGGACTATAACGAAGACGTGGACCTCCATACGAAATTTTTGTCATAGGCTGTAATGTCCATTACGAACTTCAAATACGAAATTTGTTATAATTACGGTGAATAATGTCGGAAAAATCATGAAAATACAGAGTATCGGAAGGTGCCATCATGTGGAGGCCATACGAAGACGTGGACCTGTCTATGAATTTTTTTCTCATACGTACTACATTAAGATTTGAAACGATTCCGATGAATAATGTTGCTGAAATCGTCAAAATTCCGAGTACCATTATATAGAGGTTATACGAAGACGTGGGCCTGCATATAAAATGTGTGTCATATGCTGTTGTACCCATTACGAACTTCAAATATGAAATTCGAAATAATTTCGGTAAATAATGTCGCTAAAACCATCAAAATACCGAATATCTAGAGGTACCGTTATATTTAGGCTATACGAAAGCGAGGACCGACATGGCCCATTTACGAACTTAACCTGACTACCGGTAAACTATGCATTTATGCTTTCAGTCTCAATTCGTTCGAAAGATTGTGTGATTACAACATACGGACAGACAGACAGACATAGCTAGATAATCTTAGAATTTTACGCTGATTCAGAATATTGTAGGTATATTATAAATATTTCGAGGAGTTACAAACAGAATGACAAAGGTAATATACCCTCCATAGAATGGTGGAGGGTATAAAAACTGCAACAAAGTCAAACGCCATAATCTTTACATTTTTTTTTAATTTTATTGAATGAAAGCAAAAAATTCACCTTTGGCGCGAATTATGGCCTTCAAACAGCCAATGAAACCGTCACACACTGTCCGAATTTTGCTCTGTGGTATTTTGGCCCATTCCGGCGAAGCGCTTATTTTTAGTGTCAACCTTGCTTACCAAAATACTCCAGACACAGTAGTCCAACGGTTTAATATCCGGAGTTTATGGTGGCCATTCTGCGCTGGAAATGAAGCGAGGAACCTCATTTTGTAACCATTCTTGGGTGGCACGTGCTGAGTGTGATGGTGCTGAGTCCTGTTGAAATGTCCAAGGTCTGCGGCCAAAATGTTTGCTCTGCGTGCCCAAGGCTTTAATGCGCCCTCCAGATTATTTTCGCGATAATATTCGGCATTTATTCTGATGCCACGGTCGATTAAAACGAGCGAAGTGCGACCATCGGCTGTAATGGCCCTCGCTTGAGTTCTGGTGGCCAACCGATGGTGCACATTTTCAGCTAACCTCTGTAGTAAGTAAACACGATCATATTTTTTTGTTTACAAACTGCTGGACAACGAATGTTTTCTCATCGGAGAAAAGCAAATTCGGCTGTTCACCTCTTTCGGCCAAGCGAAGCAACTATTTAGCTCTTTTGAGTCTAGATCTAGATCCAGGATTTCATTAGGAAAAGTTTTTTTGATGTCTCCAGACCATCATTTTTTTGTTTATGAATATTTTTCCAAATTTGCCAAATTCACTATTTATTTATGAATATTTTTCCTAAAATCACCAAATCCTGTATTTGTTTATGAATAAGAATAGTTTTCCTTAAGTCTCCAGATCCAGGATTTTTTAGGAAGATTTTTTCTGAAGTCACCAAATCCTCACTTATTTATGAATATTTTTCAAAAGTCACCTAATTCACAAATTTATACTTTTCCTATAAATCAGAAAAAATCCTGTGTTGGATTATGAAAATAATTTCCAGAATTTTTATATTACCAACTCATTTTTTTTGTTTATAAATATTATTCCTTAAATCAAAACATCCGGGATTATGTTGTTATTTTTTCTAAAGACGTCAGATCATGGATTTGTTTACGAATATTTTTCCTAATATTACCAGATGCTGAAAGTGTTTTGGAATTTCTTATCGTAAAGTTATTTATGAAAAATATTCCTAAAATCAAAAAATGTTGGAGTAGTTTATGAATATTTTTCTTGAAGTCATCAGATCATAGATTTCTTTACGAATATTTTTCCTGAAGTCTCCACATACAGAATTAATTTCTTTATAAATATTTTTCCCATTGAAATTTTAAAGATTAAATTTCATAAAAAATAACATTTGTTTATTTAACCCTTACAAAAATATCAATTGTTGTATTCATAAGCATTTCCTTGTTGCCCAGCCTCTTTTGATACATGAGGATGTAGATACGATAGTAACCCTTGGCAACAAAGTGGGGTATGCTATTCTTTTCCAGCTTAAAATTACGCCAACTATAATGACCCTGAAAATTTCGAGTGAGAAAAAATGACATTATTTTTTATTTCCAAAAAATAAAAATCCCTTTCCAACTCACCTCTGCGACTGGACATTCCCTGGGCATTGTGCCATATTTCAAGACATTATTTAGCCAAACATTTAGCAAATAAAATGCCGGCATTTTGCTTTGCTCCAATACTTCACAAAAATTCACATCGAAACCCATGATTTTATTCCATGGCTCGTTTCGTGTCAGTTTCATTTCAACACCCAACAAATTCCAAACGGGATAGGTTACTTTTTTCACAATCTCAAAATCAAAATTTAAGGTGAGATTTCGGTTGCCAATAAAGAGGGTGTAATTGGAGATATATTCACGATTGTAGTCCGCTTCTATTTTTTGAAAGATATTTTTTATTGAATATATTTTTAATAAAAATCATTTACCTTTTGTTGTAAACTAAGGGGATTTTGTAAAAGGCAAATTATAATCCAATACAAGATGATCCTATGGGAGTTCATTATTCTAAATGTGTTGGGCTTGGAGTACGTTGTGGGTGCTTTTCTGCTGTGACTAATTTCGGAGAACTTTGAAAACACAGCACACGCCCGCATTAATGGTAATTATTATTGTTTCTCTAAATGAGTTAATAATTTTTATTATTTTATTGTGAGGCTAATTTTTCTAATTTCGATAAACGTCGTGTGGCATTAGCTTTAGAATGTAGTTATATTCGAAAATAGAAAACAAAGACAATAAATGAAAAATAAACAATTTTAGTATTTCGGTCAATGTGATGTGATTGATAAATTGACGCAAAAGTTATCTCTTTCAACTTTTGCGTCAATTTATCAATATTTGTATAACACTTACATATGTAAAGTGTCATACCAACACCTTATTGTGGATGTAACTTGTCAAAAATGATAAAAATAATGGCAGTGTAAGTTCTGAACTCATTTTTTTTCATTTTGATAAAATGTTATACAATTTTCCAAAGTGTTATACAAACTGTTATAATCGCAATTTTTGGCTCTAAATACGTTTTAAACTATTCATAAATATTTCTATATGAATGCCTTCAAAAATTTACGAATATAACAGTTAATATAAGGCTTTGAAAAATTGTATAACAGTTTAGCAAAATTAGGGAAATAACTGTACAATTTACAGAGTCATCAAATTTTTATAATTTTTGTAGATATATATGAGGACGTGTACCCTCATCCTCATTAAGGTCTTGTATTTCTATATGAATGTATTTTAAAATTTACGAGTATAACAGTTAGCACACCACTTTGAAAATTTATATTACATTTTTTTTCAAAATTAAAGAATTAGCTTTATTACTTGCACTCTCACACAATTTTTATAATTTACGTTAAAATGATTAAGGTGTTGGTATAACACTTATACATGAAAAGTGTCATACCAGCACCTTAATGAGGTTGTATATTCCATTAACTTTTCAAAAATTAATAATATTTAATGGCAGTATGAATTCTAAAGCCATTTGTTTAATTTTGGTTAACTGTTATACAATTTTCCAAAGTGTTATACAAACTGTTATACTCGCAATTTTTGGTTCTAAATGCGTTTTAAACCATTTTGAAGCATTTTAAATAATATAAACGGTTTTATAAGAGTTCTATTACAATAATATAACTGTTATACTCACTTTTGTTACGTAAAATATTAGAGTTTTTACATATAAATAAAAATATTTAAAGATGTTTGCTGTGGACATTTAAAAATGTTTTTTTTAGAAATTTTAAGGTTATTGTAAGGATCTCCCACTTGGATATTTAAAGATTTTTGATACATCTAAG